AACGTTTTCCGTTTCAAATGTGATGGTAGGGGTAAAAATAATACGATTTCAAAAACTTTAGGGGTAAAATTGAAATTATTTGAAGTTTGTGGTGTAATTGAAAATCGAGGCAAAGTATAAGGGTAAAAATGAAATTTTCTCTACTTTATAAGTTATTAATTTTTTAATTCATTTTCTTTAATCTTAAGTTGGAGATATTAATTGAAATTAGTTATTGTAGAAGGAGAGCGATGCGAAAAACCTACGAGACAAATTTTTTTTGTATTTCAACTAATGGATGCACATATTTGGTAAGGATCGAGCTACGAGAGAGTTTGCTGAAGGACCTACTAATGCAATTGATGCTGAAAATGTTGAGGAAGAATTGTTGTTCAACGGTCTTGCAGATGATGCCACATTTCTTGAACATATGGGTATGAATAATCATATCAACGAAGGAATAAATTGCTCCAGCTCATAAAGTCAACGACCACCTGAAAGTTCTACAAAAAAAAAAATGACAATAAGAAGAGACCTAGAGGTAGTGATGATGTAGTGGACAGGTTGTCTATGATTGCTAACAAGTTAGGTGAGATATCTTCTGCCACCAATGAAAAGTTGGATTTCATTGGTCGAATGATAGGTTATGAACATGATCTCGCATGTAAATGAGCAAGTTTAAATGATGAACTTATTTAGTTGCCAATTACTCTTGATGAAAGGCTAGAAGCTTGTGAGATCATATCACAAAGTGTTCAAAAACTCGACATGTTCTTTAGCTTGACACATGATGGCAAACTAAGGTGGTGATGTGGTTGCTAAGTAGGAGTGCTCCATAATAGACTCGTGGCTTTTTTATATCCTTCTACGTACTTAGTTTTTTGACTACTCTAATGCATGTAATAAAGACTGATTTTCTGTCGCTTTTTTTGTTGAACTACTCATAGTTTGCTACTTCATGTTGCAATATGCTACTTGGAATGCTTATTTTGAAATGATGAATGGTAGATTTATAATTCTACAATTTTATAGTAGAATGATTTTTGATGTTTTTCTGTTCGGATAAAAAAAGTTAAATTTTGTTTAAATGAATACCTTTTTTAATTTGGACAGTGAATGGTTTACTATAACATTTTCTTAATTTAGTGATATTTGAAAGTGCCACAAAACTATTGGTTTAATGACATTTTTTAGTCTTGTGGTATTTTGAACAAGTGTCATTTGTACTAGTGCCACGGTAGACACTTGCAAGTGCCACTATATCATCATGGCTAAAAACTCTCAATGACATTTTGATGTCATGGTAGATATTATTTGTGGTACTATCAAACGCCATTAAAAAAAGAGTTAGTAACACTTATAAGTGTCATTACACCATCAAGACTAAAACCTTTCAGTGACACTTTAATGTCATGGTAGGCACTATTTGTGACGCTATCAAGTGCCATTCGTGACAATAATTCGTTGTAGAACAATTTGATCCACTCTTACGGAGACTCGAACGACCAACCTCCCGCACTATAAACCTTATACACCACACTCTTCCCACTACACCTCTATAGCACCACATGATTATATGCAACATATATTATTTATATAGTATATACATCCATTTTAGCATAAAAGTATATGTATAAACATAATTATTTTGTTGAACATAATTTATGTAAAATAAACTATTTACTAGCAAAATAAAAAAAGACCACTTTTGGCGACTAAAAATATGTTTTAGTCGCCAATTCTATACTTTTGGCTACCAATTGTTTTTTAGTTGCTAAACTTAACTTTTGCCGACCAAAATCGGATTTGGTCGCCGAAGATGCACTTTCAGCTACCAAAATTTTGGTCGCCAAAAAATTTAATTCCCGCCTTAGGATTTTTGTTCTCCAGCGCTAAAAATGACCACTTTTGGCAACTAAACTTATTTTTTAGTCGCCAATTGTAGACTTTTGGCTACTAAAATTTTTTTAGTCACCAAAAAACTTTACTTTTGGCTACTAAAATTTTTTTAGTCGGTAAAACCTATATAATCAGCGATCAAACTTATTTTTAGTTGCCAATTGTAGGCTTTTGGCTACTAAATTTTTTTAGTCGTCAAAAAGCTTTACTTATGGCTACTAATGTCGCTGAAAACTATACTTTCAAGGACCAAATTTTTTTTGGTCAGGAAATTTAGTCGTCAAATATGCTTTTTCCTGTAGTGTATATTGAGTTTAATTTATTTATTTTTAATCATTTACTGCATTTTAAAAATTTAGAAAATATATTGTCATTTTTTGTTTTTTCAAAAATGCCATTATAAGCTTGGAAAGTTTTTGGCTTAGTGGCATTTCTCAAAATACTATAAAATATTTGTTTATGATATTTTTCACCTAAGTGCCATAAAAAGCAATTTGCACCTACCTAGTGTCCTAACATTTTTTAAAAAATGTCATTGCTACTAAAGTTTAGTGGCATCTGTTGGCAAATGTCACGAATATAATTTTTTGTGTCATTATTTTATAAAATGCCATAAAATTGATTTGACATTTCTTTATTGAAATGTCACTAGAGCCTTATATGTTTGTGGTTCTGTGGCATTTTTCTAATACATTTAATGCCAATTTTTATTTTTGTCGCATTTTTTAAAAACATGCCACTAGTGTAGTGTCACTAAAGTGTAAATTTGTTGTAGTGACATTTTTGTTGTAGTGAAATGACACTTTTTTTAATTGAAATGTCACTAGAGCCTTGTATGTTTGTGGCTCTATGACATTTTTCTAAAAAATGCCACAAAATATTCTTTTTGTGACATTTTTTAAGAACATGCCACTAGTATGATGTCACTGAAACGTGTTTTTGTTGCAGTGGTTGGATGATTAAAATAGTAGTGCATATTTTTTAATGGTTGCTTGTGTACATATAAATTTTATAGTGGAATGATTTCTGATGTTTTCTATTAAAAAAAAAGGGTTAAATTTGGTTCAAATGAATAGTTTTTTGAATTTAGGCAATGAATGGTTGGATGATTAAAATAGCAGTGCATATTTTTTAATGGTTGCTTGTGTATATATAAATTTTATAGTTGAACGAGTTTTAATGTTTTCTATTAAAAAAAAAGGGTTAAATTTTTTCGAATGAATATTTTTTTGAATTTAGGCAATGAATGGTTGGATGATCAAAATAGCAATGCATATTTTTTAATGGTTGTCTGTGTATATATAAATTTTGTAGTTGAATAATTTTTGATGTTTTTCTATTAAAAAAAAGCAGGGGTAAAATTTTGTTCAAATGAATCAAAATGAATATGGAGCAACAGTAGGGAAATTTGCTTTTTAAAAATAATAACACATGCTAGTGCAAAATTTTACATTAATTATAACGGCGCTGATAGAGACCCCCAGTGGGGGTCACCCCCACGACTCCCACTGGCACCCCATTGGTCAGGATTTTTTTATTTTTTTATTTTTTTTCCTTTTCCTCTAATCACCAACCCCCACGGGGGGTCGTGGGGGTGGGGGAGAAAGGGGGTCTGGGCATTTTCCTAATTATAATAGGGTTATTATGATCAATATATTGAATGTCCTATGTTCTCTCATGTCCTATCTATTCCAATCTCCTTAAACAAATATCAAATTGAATAATTTTTATTAATCACTCTTTATAATTCTAATTCAATCCAAATATAGAATATGATACACAATCCAAAAGGATTCGTAGTCTTAGGACTACTAGTCATGGGGATACTAATCCAGTCTAATCCAGTCTGCCCAAACATGGCTTGAGAGTAAGCTAAACTCTATTATGTATATACCATGGTCCTAATCGCGAAAAATATATTGTATCTACTACTCAAGACATATTTGATTGACAAGATTAGAGTATGGAATTGAGATTATTAATCTGTGAGTCTAATAATCCTGAATTTGTTTTGAAATCTTGTTTCAAGATTATTAATCCAATGGATAATTAATCTAATAAATTTGTAGGATTATTAGTAATGGGGTAAGGGTGAGATTATATATCCTGAGTTGGAAAATAAAATAAAAAGACTCTTTTACCCTTGATTAAAAATTACAACAGTTATTATTTTTATATAATTTTATATTTTAGAAGGCTAAAAATAATTTTAAAAAAATTAAAAATATTTTTTGATGTTTATTTTATCAAATTAGTTTGAAACATGGCTTTGTATTTTGTATTTTTATTTTGCTTTTATTTATAATTTTTTTCAAAATCACGTTTATGAAAAAAAAATTGATAAAGTAAAGATTGTGAAGAAACATTAATAAATAGTAAGATTGAAAAAGAAAATAAATATAGTAGTAATCGTACATTCATATTTTTTTATCCAATACAAATCAAATAATAGATAAGAGAATAATTTATTCTAATAATCTAATTAGATAGTGAATATCACATTAATTTAATAAAATTATTAATACTTTCACTATTAGTGTTGTGAATTAAGCTTAGTGTTGTGAATCAAGCAGAGTCTCAGTATACTATTGTAAATTCTCTCCACTCAATACCTGCACTAACGTAATGATAAGGGCACCCTTCGACTATCTTGTAGATGCAGTCAAACACCGCATGCGTTCATCAAGCTCTTTGTTCCATGGAGGATTTTTTCCTCTACAAAATATATCATAGATCACTAAATCAGCAATCAATTTCTCTTGTGCTTAATTAGTTACAGTAACTCTTTGCAAGTAGTACGTTCTCTTATGGTGTTAATATATTGCGTACTGACAACGACTCCGACAACAAAGACATAACCTGTACCCAAATAAAATAAAATTGATCGATGCCCAACAATGTTACATTGAATGATCCAAACTCCAAACCAAGCAGACAGATTTGTTAAGTAGAAATTTGATCTAAATTTCAATTTAAATTTTAAACAAAAAATGTTTGACTGGGAGTGTGAGAGAGAGTTGATATCACCAGAGTTGTCCGGTGGGGAGTAGAACAAAGGTAGAGAAATATTAGTACCTAACAAAAAATATTAGTCGGACAACCAACAATAAAGAAGAAACTGGTGTCATCTGAAATAATATTTCTATTTTCTTTGAATTTGAGTTAGAATTTAGAATTTCTTCAACATACATTACAGGCCTTGGCCAAGTGCCATTTGTCTAGTCACATCTCAATTTGCAGGCATTTTTTTTGGGTGCATTTGAAGGCATTGGAATACACATTAGCTTAATGTTTGAAACTCTCCTAGGCAAGAATACAACAAAAATGTACAAGTGCCTTCAAAAGGTTGATAGTATAAATTGAAGGCCAGCAAATCTCACGAGTTCAGTCTTTCAGTCTTGATTTGTCACCCTTAGGTGGACTTCTTCATCTGTGCATGCCGATGCTAGTGAAAAGCATGAACCGAATAACACCCTTTTGCAGAAAGTATATTTACTCATCCAAACGGGGCACAAGAATTGAGTCACAATCCAGATTTCATAAGTGCATACTTTGTCGTCTCTCTGTTCCTATGGTGCATGCTTCCAGGGCTCTGTTTTGGCCTCAGATGCTTGTGTATCATAGTGAATTGATACTGTTCCTTTGGCTCCCGCTTGAAATTCTTTCAGCAATTCTTGCCCTTCATTAAAAAAATTTAAAAAATAATTATTGCTTTAGGCAATAATTGTTAAACACAGATAATTGGATCCCATAAGCATGCTCTAATGTTATACATCGGCGTTACCATGAAGAAGTTTAAAAAAAAAAAAAAATCTAGAGAGGGTAGGCTTAAAAACCCACCTAAAAATTTTGTATCAGAATGATCCACATTTTCTTGCTGATGATGTATTATGTCCTCCCTGCAATTTTCCTTCACATTGTCGAAGCGTAGATGATGTATTATGTCCTCCCTGCAATTTTCCTTCACATTGTCGAAGCGTAAGCATTTGGGATCATTACTTGAATCACTAAATTACACACGAGTTCGGTTAAACTTACTTCAGATGATGTGTGGAGCTGAAAGGGTCTAAGATGACCTTGGATTGATGAGTCCATTCCAAATGAAGTTTCAGAATTGATTATACTTGAAAAAGCAGCTACAGATGGCTGGGCAGAGTTAGCGCTTTGGTTGGATATATTGACGAGACTATTTGTTGGGGCGTCTTGGTTTTCAGGGAGCATGCCTGCCTCATTCATATGCAGGAGTTCATTTCCTTCGTAAAAGCCCATTTTCATCTGGGAGAGTTGAGCTGGCTCCAATACTCCAGGTTGGCACATTGGATATTGACTGAACCCATTTCTCATTGTTAACATCTGAAATTTGATCAATCTAAAATAATTAAAAAGAATCGGAATAATGAAAATAGGTATTACAAATACAAAGATATTAGCAATCAAAAAGCTGAGCCTCAGCAGGGTTTCAATCCCTTGCCAACCCCACCCCCCTCCCTGTATACAAATGCAATCATGGTGTCCTTCCTACAAAAAAAATTAATTAAAATTTTAAAATTATAAAAAAAAAAAGATAAAAAAAAGGGGCAATCAGGAAGCTTAATTAAACATCCCAGAGGAAAGACAACAACGAATTTTTTTTCCCCATTTTTGTCTTCGAAAGAAGGCTTTTAGAAGAGGAAAGGCAGAATTCAGCATCTGCGAGCAGTATTTTCTTAAGAGAAGAATGCAGGAAATTAAAACTCAGATCAATCTGGGGAAAAAAAACATTAAGGCTGTGTTTTGATCAAGGGTTTCATGAGAGATTTTCGGAGACGAAGGAAGGGAAGAGTGAATGAAATAGAAGCTAAATTGGTTCACTATTCCTTTCGAATTCCCTCCTCAAATTATTGATTCAAACACACCCTAAGAAACCTTGAATTATAACTTTTCAAGTAGAAATTGTATTTTGCACGCGACAACCATGGGCGAAGAGTTTCTTGATGTCATCATCTATGATCAGCCCTGAGCTCAATAGACCAAGTTGTGGTATATGCATTCATCAAAAAGAATCTAACCAACTAAAGTTCCCATTCCCAAAAAGAGACAATGATGCATGAATTGATTATCATAAATACCACAAGAGCTTTCAAAATGACAGAGAATTCATTAGAAGCAGAGCCAGAATGTTCCTACTGCAAATCAGCACTTTCAGAAGAGGTAATAGTTGCACCATACAAGAAACAGTATCAGGTGCATTACGCAACACATTCTTCACTTTCTTGTTAACAAAGATCCAAAATTGGTCAGCTACACTAGTCATGCTATAAACGATCCTTATTGAGGCCATAAACAGTTAAAAAAATTGGAAGAAACTTTTAGGCAGTTGAGTGGAAGTATGTCTATTGGTTGCACTTCTTGGGTTTCTAAAGTTGTTTTAAAAAAAAAAATTAAAATTAAAAAAGGCTTCGAAAGTGTTCCGCCAAAGTTCCAACAAGACAGAATATACACAACATGGCATCCATCCCTAAGTGAGGAGAAACCATCCATTTCAGTATTTAGCAGGACAATCACAACAATAACTTTCTCAAATTTCTTAGGCAGCTTGATGGAAAGCATAGTCAAATAGCATAATTGAATGATTTGATCAAGTTTACTTTGCCAAAGCCCTGAGAACTTTTGAAGCACCAGAGCAACTTGCTTGGGATTTGTTAAGAAAAGGTAGGCTAATAGATTTGATTTCCCTTTCTGAAAACTTAAGAAACACGGACACTTCTAAAAAGGTGATGTATTCGTGTCGTGTCCATGTCGGACACCGACATTTTTCAAAACGTGTCCTATTTTTTAAATTTTTTTAAAGACTCAGACACTCTTTGAACACTTGAAAGACATGTGTCAATCACTTAAACACATGTATTTATTGATTAGACAAATGTGAAACTAATTATAGATTTGAACAAAACAACTTAAAATACAATAATAAAATAAAACCCATATAAATTTATAAGAATTAGTGTCATATTACATTTTTTGTTATCTTTAAATGATATATTGATATATATATAACATATAATAAATATATAAAATTATATATTTCATGCATGTCCCTCATGTGTAGTGTCCTGCATCCGTGTCATATCCGTATCATGTCACATGTACGTGTCTGGCTCCATGCTTCTTAACTGAAAACTATATATATATATGTTGAAAGTAACGAACTAAAATAAAGAGTTTTATTGAAAGATGTATTGTGAAACAGTGATTAGTAAAAATAGAGCACACACTTTTTACTGTATTTGTGATAATTAAAATAGCTAGTTGTATTCACCCAAAACAAAAAAAAATAGCTAGTAGTGTTAGATCGGAATGGGAATTGTGTCATGTTTGTGATTATCTTCTTGAATTCATGTTAGAATTCCCTCCATACAAATCTAGCTCAAGTAAACAATTCAATTTTTTATTTATTTATTCACTAGTTTCACTTCAAAATATCATATTATAGTTTTATTGAAAGATGTATTGTGAAACAGTGATTAGTAAAAATAGAGCACACTTTTTACTGTATTTGTGATAATTAAAATAGCTAGTTGTATTCACCCAAAACAAAAAAAATAGCTAGTAGTGTTAGATCGGAATGGGAATTGTGTCATGTTTGTGATTATCTTCTTGAATTCATGTTAGAATTCCCTCCATACAAATCTAGCTCAAGTAAACAATTCAATTTTTTATTTATTTATTCACTAGTTTCACTTCAAAATATCATATTATCTAAAATGAAAAATTAAAAAACAGGCCTCATTTGGCAATTCTTTATTTGGCCAAAAAATCAAAAAAGTAATTAAAAAAATCAAAAAGTAAACAAATTATACAAAAAAATAAAAGATTCTCTTTTTTCTTACTTTTTACACATTTTTGGAAAAAATCAAAAAATCATTCTAAACAAATTAATTTTTTTACCTCATATTTTAGTCAAAAAAAAAAAAACTAAAAAATTACTGAAATAGCTTATTCACAAAAAATTCTGTTTCATATTTTTTTATTCAACTAAGGAGTTGTTTGGGATAACCTAAATATGTGTACTTTTTGTCTTTTTACGAAAAGATATGTAAAAAAATAAAAAAAATAAGGAGGTGATGTGATGAAAAAAAAAATAAAAAAATAAAAAAATAGATTATTTTTGAGTTGCCAAACTTGGCCTAGATAGGGTCTCGATACCACCTAAAAGTGTAAAGAATCCTCCAATAAAAGGATTATCCGTGTTAACTTGTATTTTATGCAGGTTGTATCATGTCATAATCAAGATCATGTCCAAAAATAATCAATCCTAACTCGTTAATTTCGTATACAAATCACTTGGTGTGAATACTTACACCCTAGGAGTAGAGATGCTGTCAGTAATAACGAAGGCCTTGTTTTTACTTTTTAACTTAAAAGTTAAAAATTAACTAAAATAAAAATAAAAATAAAAAATAAAAAATTTATATAAAAAAATAACAATGATTTATCCCACTAAAAATATCACCACTAATAGCACTAATGCATTAAAAAAGTAAAAAAAAAAAAAATACAACTCCAAGACCAAAACATCACATCATTAATGGCGGGACCCACTGCCACCTAATTAGTGGGAGCACTAATTAGTGCTCCCAAGCATGATTTAATGACAAGTCACATCAATTTTTTAGCATTAAATCTCACCCATACAACACACCACTTTAGGAAACTTTAGGAAAAAAAAACTCTAAAGGATCATTGGTGCCCACTGCCACCTAATTAGTGGGAGCACTAATTAGTGCTCCCAAGCATTTTTCATAAAAAAAAAGTTAAGATTCTACTTCCTATATACTTTTTGTACACATTTTTTTGTAAAAAATTAAAAAATCAAAAAATCATCACAAATATACTAATTTTTTTACATTATATTTTAGCAAAAGTTAAAAAAATACTAAAAAGCCCTGTTCCAAACGAGGGCTAAATATGTCACAAATCGTCCAGAAAAGTTCTTGAAGGAAACTAGCATACCTGCACCTGAAGCTGAAGTTGTTTGAGGTAATCAATGGCTTCATCGAGCATTGATGCCTTATCGGTCTATCACAAACAAAAAAAACATAAATCAACCCCTCCAAACCCAAGTTAAATTTGTCCACAAAACAGAACTAATCAAGCTTAATAACCATCAAAATCATGATAAACCTTGTTGGAGTTTGGAATTAGTTTCTGCAACGCTTTCAATTTCTCATTAATACGACTCCTCCTCCTCTGTCAAAACCACAAAATCAAATCCCAAAATCAGAGATTTAAAAAAACAAATTCATGATTCAAATGGAGCATAGCTTAATCACATAAGCATACATAAAGCCAACCTTTTCAGACAAGTTATGAGCTTCCGCTGCTCTGCTTCTCTTCGACGGAGTCCGAGGCGGAACCGGCTTTGCCGGCACATCTCCAACCAGAGCTTCAAAACCCTCCTACACTCAAAACACAATTACAAGATTCAACACTTCAATCGAAGCAAAATTCAAAAATTTGAAGAAAATGCAAGAACACACCTCGCTTTCGAAATCGTACTCGTCGGGGGGGTCATTGTCAAGTGTTCCGGCTGAAGAACAAGACACATTCGTGGCATTCACCGGGAAAAAGCCGCCGGAAGAGGAGTCGACGGCGGAGACCCGGCGTTCCGACCCGGAAAGCAGAGAAGGCGGGATCGAACGGTTTGGGTTTTCTGGGAGAGTGTGAAAAGGTGAAGACGAGTGCATTGGATTGGGCTTGTGGGGCATGAGAGAGTAGGAAGATGGTGGTGAGGAAGATGATGATGAGCGGAGGAGGAATTGGTGAAGAAAGAGGGAGATATCGTCGGGTTCAGGAGGAGAGGAAGACGAAGAACAGGCGATATTATACATATCCGCCATTACTATCATATATGTTTGAGAAAGATCAGAGATTAACAGTGAAAAAACAGAGAGAACAGATTCAAGACCTCGGGTTTGTTTCCTCTATCTCTGCAAAAACCATTTCAATACTGTCTCTCTCTATCTATCTATCAAAACTCCATGCGTATATGTTGGAATGTGTGGTTTTTTGGGTTTGTCTTAGACTCTCTTTCTGGATTTCTCTCTTTATGAACCCCATTTACTCTCTCTCTCTCTCTCCCCCTCTCTCTCCATTAAAAATATCGAGCTGAGAAAGCAGAGAGACTGAAATTGCTGGCGGGTTTAAAAGCAGATGAGAAAAATTTGGCTGTGTTTGGTTTTATTATTTTTTTTTGTTTGTTTACAATTTTTAAATTATAATATCAAATCAATTTCAAAATATATTTTGAAAATATATTTATTTTAAAAACATTTTGGTAAATTAAAGAGATTTTGAATTTTTAGTCTATCCGGACATCTATCTAGATAGTTTGGGTTGTTTTGGGAAGATGGTAAAAAGTGACTTTTTGGCTTTTAACCAAACTTTTGGTTTTTTTAGACAAATGATTTGGGAAGTTGGTAAAAAGTGACTTTTGACTTTGACTTTTTTGATTAATGTTTGTTTATGATGTCAAATCATAATAAAATGACCAAACTACCCCCACTTATTTAAAATATTTACAACTTCACCTATGTAACATATTTTGACCCATGAGGGGTAAAATTGTAATTTTACCATTGGCTAAAAATCAACTTCCCAAATGAAAAAAAAGACAAAAAAACCAACTTTTAGCTTTTGCTACTAACCAAAAAAAGTGACTACAAACCATGTTGCCAAAATAGGCCTTTTTAAATTTTTTGGTCTACTTGATTGTTCCGGACATGTGGCCGGTTAACCGAAACAGTTTTTTTTTATATTTATTTTAGCAACTGGACCTGTTATCTAGAAAAAAAAATTATATTTATTTTTAATATTTTTTAAATATAGAAAATATTTTTTTAGACTAAAATGACAAATTATTTGGATATTTATTTAAAATTAACAAAAATAAAATAAAATAAAAATTAATTTGTCACAATAATTTTTAAAAAATAATAATTCTTTAAAATATTTTAAATAAAAAAATATTTTCTAAAATTTCTAAATTTTTTAAATGAAAATTATTTTTGTCAATAATTATCTTTTTGAATTGAATTTTAAAAAAAGTTTGGTTACAAGTTTCGAATAAAATTTTCAACAAAGTTTTAAGTTATGTATTTAATTATGAGTTATAAGTTTTTGAATTAAGTTTTGAAAACTCTTTTCAAAACTCATAATCAAATAACTTTTTACAAACTTAACACTCATTCCAAAAATTTAACACTCAATTCAATACTCTTTTCAAAATTTATAACCGAACAAATTTTCTCTTTTTCAATCATAATTCCAAAATACACAACCTCAAAATATAATTCCTCACTCAAATCATAATTACAAACACAAACCAAAAGCTACCTTTATTTTTATCCCTTACTTTCCCTTGATTTTCAATGATATTCTTAAATTTTGAATGATTTTAATTTTACTTCTAAAATTTTTCAAATTGTATCAATTTATTCCTAATCATCACATTTAAAATGAAAATATTTATAACAAAAAATTATATTTTAACTCCAAATTTCAAAAGAAATATGCAAACTCACCATCTTCTACCCAAACTCATCTTTTCTCTTCTTTCTTTAATTCTTCCCTCTCTTCTCCACCCTTACAAGCACTGCCACTACCACCAACCACCACCACAATCACTCAATTTCTTTCAAATCCAAATTCACTCACTCACTTACTCTAAATTTTCAAGCCCTACAGTAGACTATGAAAAAAGCAACGTTTGCAGCAAACAAGAAAGGTTCAGCGACGGAGGACTATTACCCTAACCAACTTGTCAAAGTTAACGACAAGCAGGAAGGGTTCTTGGGCTCCCACTACCCTGCAACACCCCTTGCCACAAGTTGGGTTTGAACAAAGTATCATATGACTTTATCATCATTTCAACACCTAATTCCTCTATTTTCTGAAAAATCTTCACACTCTCTTGAACAATACCTGCCTTAACATAGCTATTAATCAACATAACAAACATGTCCTTATCCCATTCCACACCCTTCTTTGGCATATCCAATAATATACACCGGGCATAGTTGAGCTTCGAAACTCAACCCAAAAGCTCAATTATCTTGTAATGGGTCTATTTATCATGTTGGAACAACCAAACTCACTCAATCCACCGAAAAAATTAGAGAGCATGCTCCAAATTTTTCAAGCATCATGCAATACATTATAAACAAGTGAGCAATTAAATTCATGCACTAAATTCCTAATTGAGTTCTGTAAACGAGTCGTCCTCCTCTAATCTTTTTGGGTTTTGATACTTATCTCTTACGCTATGTTTGGTTGGACAATTTGAGAAAGAATTTGAAAAGAGAAAAGGAAAAGTCAGGTGAAATGTGAATAAAATATGCATATATTTCACTTAGTTACACACACCTTTTTTCATTTCCCTTTTCAAATCCTTTCATAAATCCCCAAACCAAATACAACGTTAGAGTTCTCTGATTCATAATCACTTTGATATTTGAACTTTTCGAGCAGGATCTGTGCAACTGAAACAAGGGAGTTTGGTTATGGGTTTTAGATTGGATCGCTGGAAGGGAGCGAGGAATCGATTTGTGGGTCTGGAGTAGATGAACAAAAGAAGTAGAGGGATTTGAGAGAAATGGAATTTCAAATCAAATAAAACCTAGGTTTCAAAAGATGTGGCTTTGATATAGAGATAGAGGCCATTTCTGGGTATTTCTTTAATCTGTGAAATGAGTGTGAAAAGACTGTAGAATGGAATAAACGATTCTTTGTTGGGTCAAGTTTGGTTCTTTATATAAATTGTGAGAGAGACAGAGGGAGACAGAGAGAGAGAGAGAGAGCAGACTGTTGAGAATTTAGAGTAAGTGAGTGACTTTGGGTTTGAGAGAAGTTGGGTTGGGTCGTGACATTGATATAGAGATAGAGGCCATTTCTGGGTATTTCTTTAATCTGTGAAATGAGTGTAAAAAGACTGTAGAATGGAATAAACGATTCTTTGTTGGGTCAAGTTTGGTTCTTTATATAAATTGTGAGAGAGACAGAGGGAGACAGAGAGAGAGAGAGAGAGAGAGCAGACTGTTGAGAATTTAGAGTGAGTGAGTGACTTTGGGTTTGAGAGAAGTTGGGTTGGAGAATTGAGTGATTGTGGTGGCGGTTGGTGACAGTGGCAGAGCTTGCAAAGACGGATGAGAGATGAGAGAGAGAGAGAGAGAGAGAGAGCAGACTATTGAGAATTTGAAGTGAGTGAGTGAATTTGGGTTTGAGAGAAGTTGGGTTGGAGAATTGAGTGATTGCGGTGGTGGTTAGTGGCAGTGGCAGAGTTTGCAAGGACGAAGGAGAAATGGAAGAATTTGAGGATGAGAATGGTGAGTTTGAGTAGGAGATGATAGGTTTGCATATTTCTTTTGAAATTTGAGGCAAAAATTGTTTGGTTTGTGTTTCTCAAAAAATTTTGGGAAAAATTTTCTACAAATAAGTTTTCAAAAGTAATTAAACCAAACAAATTTTTCCAAATTTTGTTTCCAAAACTTGTTTGGTTTACAAATTTTCCAAACAAATCTCTCTCTCATACACATCAAATCAATCACTTTCTCCAAAACTCTCTCTCAAAATAATTTTTCAAAACATCTTTTGAAAAAAAGTCAAACCAAACAAGTTTTTGTACTTTTTATCTCAAAACATGTTTATCAAATATACTGACGAAGAACTCTCCTCCTCCTCTGATAACAGGAACCGGAGCAGAGGCCCATCCGCCCAATCTCTCTCTACCTCGAAGGACCCTCAAGAACAGGCAAAACCGCCTGGGCCAGAAGCCTCGGACGACACAATTACTTCTCCGGCAGAATAAGCTTCAAGGACTACGACCAAGACGCCGTCTACAACGTCATAGACGACATCAAATACTCGACAGTCCCTACCGAATTAATGAAGAATTTAGTAGGCTGCCAGAGAGATTTCCATGTATTTGTTAAGTTCCAACCAGATCTCACTATTAGAGGAGGAATTCCTTGTATTTTATTAACAAATGGGAACAGTAGTTGGTTAGATGCAATGTCCCCATTAATGAGAGAATGGTTTGATGTTAATGTGACCGCTGTTATGATTAATGAAAAATTTTATTAATTTTATTTATGAAACCGCTCAAAGTTTTATTTACTTACTACATTTCCCTTATCATCCACTATTACATCTTGAGTCACATCACTATTTTTTACACTGATGATTACATTTCGTAAAACATTAGAAAATTCTGCTGCATCCATAACAACTGATCCTCTACGATCAACTTCCTCTTTGCGTTCACCAACCTCTGAAATCGACGGACCAGGATCAACATCACTAGATTCATCACCACCTCTGCGTACATCAATCTCTGACAAACTCAGACGACCTCTGCGTTCATGAATGACTGAACCACTTTCCCCAAAACCTCCTAACAACAAAACTCTTCGACTCTTCAGTAAACCAACAAACTTAGTCTGTGTCAGAATCAGAATGGCCTTCTTTGGAGGACAATGCCAGACATCAACATTATCATTAGTATATTTTTCAGATAACACAACAATAAAGGGGGCCCTCATTTGCGAATCTTATGGCATGTCACTCGTAGAATAACTTCAGATACCCCTTCATTTTACAATACGTAACCCCTTTTAATATTGGAATTTCAAGTCGATACTTCACCATCCATGGCACCTGTTTGTCGTTAATTGAACAATAACCATTCCATAATAGACTAACTCGCATTGACAATCTACTGGGAAAATAAACCATACCTGCAAATGTCATTACCGTCTAACCTCCGATCGTAAACATTACTCTGACCAACCCACTGCATTGCAAAGGGGGGAATATTTTATCAATATTTTATCAACCTTAATACTTTTTTGTTTGTATCTTAACCTCAATTGAGAAAATAAATTAGGCAACGCAAGTTCAATACAACTGAAATCACTTGTTGAAACACCTTCAACAACTCCAGTTTTTATATCGTCCACCTCCATTAACCTGAACATTAAAAATAAAAATACATCAAATTACAATTCTAAACAGTTTTAAAATACATTTGACTTCTTAAAGTAATTTTGCATTCCTTTCCACTAACAGTAGCAGCCACTAAATATATGGCACCCTTTTGAATGCTTCCAACATTTCCCAACAGCGTATCTTTGTAGTCCGTCC